CTGGTCTCCCATGGGGTGCAGGGCCCAAGCACTTGGGCCATCCTCCACTGCACTCCCGGGCCATAGCAGAGAGCTGGCCTGGAAGAGGGGCAATCAGGACAGAATCCGGTGCCCTGACCGGGACTAGAACCTGGTGTGCCGGCGCCGCAAGGCGGAGGATTAGCCTAGTGAGCCGCGGCGCCGGCGACAAATTCTTTTAAACTTTGTTATGAAGGTCTTTATTTCCCTTCATTTATAAATGAGAGTTTCCTAGGGTAGAGTATTGTGGGTTGAAAGTTTTTTTCTCTTAAGATTGGATTATGTCTCTCCATTCTCTTTTAGCCTGCAGGCAGTCTGATGAGAAGTCAGGTTTGAGTCTATTTGGGTACCCTTTGAAATTAATCTGACATTTCTCTCGTGCACATTTTAGAATCTTTTCTTTATGTTGTACTATTGAAAGTTTGACTTTAAGGTTTTGTCTATTAGGAGTTCTTGGATGGCATTTTCTTTCTCCAAATTAAGGAAGTTTGCTGTAATTTCACTGAATAGGCCTTCTAATCCATTCTCTTTCCACATCTTCAGGAACTCCTAAGACCCATATGTCAGGTCATTTGGGAGTATCCCATAAATCTCCAACACTGCTTTTAGGTATTCTAATTTTTTCTTTTTTAGTTCTGAAAATTTTCCAAAAATTTGTCTTTTAGCTCAGATAATCTTTCTTCTGCCTCACAAAATCTTTTAAGGCTTTCCACTGTATTTTTTTGACAAATTGAATTCTTCATTTCTAATATTTCAGTGTGAATCTCTTCAAAACCTCAATCTCTTGGGAGAATTTTTCTTCCCTATCACATATGGATTTCCTTAACTCCTGAATTTTCTTATTACTTCTGTGTAATGCTATGACTAATCTTTTGAATTCTTTTTCAGGCATTTTGTCTATCTCTGTCTTCACATTCTAATATTGAAGTGTTCTTTATTATTCCTTTGGGGTAGTCATGTTTTCTTCCTTATTGTTATTTGAATGTCTTCATTTAATTTTAGGCATTTGTGTGAATACTTGCTGGTTTTTTCAGCTGATGGCTTTTACCTATGGCCTATGCCCATGTGGCTTAGTAGAGTGTATACTCTTTCAGTGAATACCCAGAGGTCTTCCTGGGGGTGGCCAGGCAGCTCTGGGTAGGGTTCCAGGGTGGGACGAGTGTCCAGGGTAACATTTAAGTATGGTGTGGTAGATATCCTATATTTTCAGCAAGGAAGAGGGTATGATTATCTCGGTTGGTGTCATCACACTGTCACCTCTTCTCTTCCAAGGTGATCAGTGCCCTAGGTTAGCCAACAGCACTCAAATGCTCTGCCAGATGAGCTGCACAAGGATCTGTGCAGTCCTTGTGTGAAGATGGGATGGATCCTGTTACCTTGACCACCCAGGCAATCGGGGAGTTCTGAGCCTTTGGCTCTGCACACAGTGATTGTCCAGAGACCCAGCTATACCCTGTGCCCTATTGTGCAGTCACAGATTTCCCACTGTATCAATGGTGGACTGAGATAGGTAGGAGACTGTCTGCTTTTTCAGACTTGGGTGTTTTCTAAGGCTTTAAGTTCACATGTTATTTCCTGTGCTTGATACAGTCTGACACATTCAACAGTTTTTATTTGACCAAATTTCTTCAATTTCTAAGATTTCAGCTTGGTTCTTTTTCAAGATCTCTGGATTTCTGAACATCTCATTCACATCATGCATTGTTTCCCCAATTTCCTTAAACTCTTGTATTTTCTTGTATATCACTGAATTTCCTTATAATCATTCTTAGGAATTCTCTTTTAAAAATATTTTATTTACTGGCTGGCGCTGTGGCTCACTAGGCTAATCCTCTCCCTGCGGCACCGGAACCCTGGGTTCTAGTCCCGGTTGGGGTGCCAGATTCTGTCCTGGTTGCTCTTCTTTTAGTCCAGCTCTCTGCTGTGGCCCGGGAGTGCAGTGGAGGATGGCCCAAGTGCTTGGGCTGTGCACCTGCATGGGAGACCAGGAGGAAGCACCTGGCTCCTGGCTTCAGATCAGTGCAGTGCGCTGGCCGGAGCAGTTATTTGGGGGGTGAACCAATGGAAGGAAGACCTTTCTCTCTGTGTGTCTCTCTCTCTAACTCTGCCTGTCAGGAAAAAATATTTTATTTATTTGAATGGGGGAGGGAAGGAGCGAGAACAGTTCTCTCTTTAGTTTCTAAATGGTGACATTTATGGTAAAAAAAAAAAAAAGGCTTTTTCCTTGAGTTTTTTAGTTGTCAATTTGACAGGTATTTTTGGAATTAGCTCCAGATGGATGCTGTAGTAGAGTCTCCCTATAGGTTTTTGCAGTAAAATCAATGGAAACATCAGGAAAGAGGAATCGGGTGCTTGTTCTCAGTCAAGTTGGTATTTATAGGACCTGGTGATAACCTAATGGCTGGGATGGTGTCAGAGTCTTGGGATTGCCACTTGCCATCTCAGTGGAGACATGCAGGCCCTCTTGATGGCCCATGGTGGCAGGGGTAGAGCTGAAGTCACAGGAGTTCTGGGTCATGGTCCTAGTAGAGTCACACAGGTTGCAGCAGTGACAGTTTTCCATGTGGCAGAGGGAGGGGGATGGTGGGAGAGAGCAGTCCTAAACCCAGGGTAGCAAGTATCCTAACCTGTAGGTTCTTAAGGGCAAGGCCCTGGTGTTCTGCAGATCCACCTGTCACTTTTTTTTTTTTAAACATTTTATTTATTTGAGAAATAGTTGAGAGAGAAAAAGGTCTTCTATATGCTGGTTCACTCCCTAAATGGCCACAATGGCTGGAGCTGGACTGGTCCAAAGCCAGGAGCTGGGAGCCTTTTCTGGGTTTCCCACATGGGTGCAGGGGCCCAAGCACTTTTGTCTTCTTCCACTGTTTTCCCAGGCCATAGCAGAGAACTGGATAGGAAGAGGAGCAGCCAGGACTTGAATGGGCACCCATATGGGATGCCAGCACTGCAGGCAGAGGCTTAACCCACTATGCAACAGCTCTGGCTTCCACCTGTCACTTCTAATGCAGGGCACTGCATGGGCTAATTGGTTATGATACTGTGTCTATTTGGGTTCATAAGGCTGTATTTTTTTTTTTCTCTTGGCTAGTGTAATGGAAGTCTTTGAGGCCCCAAGGGTAAGGCTATGCAGAAGCTTCTGTATGATAAGGCAATGTGATATGAGTCATTCTTCTCAAGATGGTGTCATACTGCTTTAGCCTGTGCTTGGGGGTCAGGGGAAGATCAGGTGAGTTCCTTCTAGGAATCAAAGCTACCATTCATAGTCCAGGTAACTCCTTTAATGTACTCCATGCCCGCATGACTGTGCATCCCTCCACAATGGCTAGGACTGGTGGCATCTGAGGAGATGGGGCCTGCTAGGGCTCTGCTTGAACTTTCCCTTTGCAATGGGGAATTCTCTTGTCTATAGGACAGGCTCACAGCTGTTAGCATGAAGGATGCAGGTGCACTTTCTGTTACTTTCTGGTCTCCTTGTATTACAGGGCTCCTGTGTCTTACTTGCTCAGTTCCACTATTCTCCCTTTGGCATTCATCTCTAAATGCAGCTAGTCATTTATTTTGCTTTTTCTGTGTGGGAGAGGTGAGCTCTAAGCACCTCTATTTACCATCTTCCCAAACTACTTTAATTTATGTAACTTTAAGTCTGATAGATTCTGGTAATATTCAAATAAAAGGTACAGAGGTCAAATCTGGACACAAGGAACTAGCATCTAGCTTAGTGGTACAGAACCTTTTTTCTGTCAAGGGTCATTTGAATATTTATATTTCTGGACCACACAAAATTATCAACTTAAAAATCAGCCTGCTATAGATTTACTGAATTTCAAGTGCTGCCTGCCTTGGTGGGGCCAGAAATGATTTTGTGGACCTTATACAGCCTGTGGACCAGATATTCCTCACTGATCCAGCCTGTTGATCCAGAAATGTTCTCCCAACTCTGTGAGCTTCTGATTGGCCTAAGTCGGAAATCAACTAGGTGCTACATAATTATTTTTGTTTAAAACTGAAAAGTTCCATAGCAAACAACAACAACAAAAAATGACAAAGGGAAAGAATATGAAGATTCACAGGAAGAGCTTTCCTTGAGCACCTTTTGGCCCCTAATCTTTTAGACCGGGTTCTTATTGAAGGCAGAGAAATGTTTATCTGACCTTCAAATCCCTAGCACATCACTGATATTGAAACATAGCATCAGCTGTCTCAAGATAAATAATAAAGGGCTGGGGGTTGTGGTATAGCAGGTTAAGCCTCTTCCTGCAACACTAGCATCCCAAATGGGTGGTGGTTCAAGTCCCAGCTGTTCCACTTCCAATCCAGCTCTCCGCTAATGTGCCTGGGAAAGCAGTGAAAGATGGCCCAAGTGCTTGGGCCCCTGTACCCATGTGGGAGACCCAGAAGTAGTCCCAGGCTCTCGGCTTTGGCATAGCCCAGCCCTGGCCATTGAGGCCATTTTGGGAGTGACCCAACAGATAGAGGAGGAGAGACAAATATCTTCTAACTCTGCCTTTCAAAAAATACATTAAAATATTTTTTAAAAAGATAAATAATAAGTCACTGATGGGAGTTGGTGGTTGGGTGTGGATATCTGATGATGTCCTTGGGAAATAGACTAGTTTGCTCATTATAACTCTAAAGTATATATCATTTTGCCAGTGAGGTGTTAAACACACTAGATCATCTTTTATTTCCAATATATTTCAGATAATTAAATTAGTAATCATTTGCAGAAAATCCTCTGCTACATACTGTTCCACAATTCTGGAGTAGATTACCACAGGCCTCAAATAGAGAAATTATATGAATTTAAGTAATGACTCTTGCATTTAAAAACTGTGTGAATTTAAGCTTATTAAGCTCCACTTTCTTATCAGGGAAATGGTTCAAATGTACTTCCTGGTGATCCACAGCTCTATATATCTGCTATATCTGATTCTTTCCCTGTGTCACTCATCAGTTCAACAAATAGCAAATAGATAAAATAGCTGAAATGTATGCATTTATTTATTCCTCAATAATACTGACCCAGGGAGATCTATATTTCTCAGTGTTCAATAAATAACATACACAAATCACATATATACAAATATATTTATATTGAAATTGAATACTCATGATTGAAAATTTTACAAACATTGTCAGGTGAAAAGCAGACCATTATATTGAACTGTACTATCTTATGCAATTGTACAATAGGTATATTTTATTTATGACTATTGTCACAGATATGACTACTTTATTGAAGAGGAATGAAATAACCACCAACATAGAAAAATAATCAAGGTACATGATTCAAGTCTGAAGAAACAAACTTGAAATGGTCAATATCAGCACCCAAACAGTGCAATCTACCACTTAAACTGAAAGCAAATCACTCTTCCAGTACACTGGAGCTCATTTAGACAAATACTTTTTAAAGAACAACTTGTTGACAAAGACTCCTCTAATACAACAAAACTAACAGTCACTATTTACATTGCACCCGCAAAAGCCTGAATGATTTAAGAAAGGATCATTTTCTAACTGTAGGTCCATGTGGAAATCAGGACAGAAAAAGAAGCATAGCCAAAGAGATGGATGGCAGAGAAATCAGTGGCTGATACACAAAAACCAATGGGAAAAGCAATTTTTAGTGTATGGTAATAAAATAACTTCTCTAAAAGGACTTTAAAGAGTAAATGAAAAAATATTCATTTATTTAATTTCTCTTTTGTACTGCTGAAAGCCATTATGCTGAGTATTTCGAGCAATAGGAACATTATTAGATAACATCTTCTCCAACTGTGGTGTCAAAAATCTGATAGCAAACTTGCTGCTCTGTCCCATTTGTGACATTATATGACTTGAGGAAGCATTCCAACCATGGATATGCATCTACAAATCAAAATGAAAATGTTACTTAGCCATTAAAGCTAAACAAGGAGCTCTGAGATAAGTAAGCATAATGCTTGCTTTGAAAACTTTAATTTAGCATGAAAATAAACAATATACTTAGCAAATTTAACATTATGCACTCTTCCAAATACACATTGGATTCATGTTATCGTTTTGCAGCAAGTATGGCTAATTTGACTTTCTCAACAGATGAATGATTAAACCAACAGTTTTTCAGAATGTTTGGCAGCAAAAGTAGTAAGTAATAGTCCCAATTATTCCCTTTTTGAGTGCTTACTGACCTCTGATTTTCTTTTTTTTTATTTACTGGAAATAAATAGAAGCCAAACTTCAAACTGGCTCTAGCCTTTCCCCCTATCCAGCTAACACTTTGATCAGCGAGCAGCTACTGAGCCCAGGCAATGTTGACAACAACAGATGCCATTTCAACCTTTGATGATGATCACATTAGGTAATTTTTATGACTTCTAGTAAAGCCCCTTATATTTCTTCAAGTTTAAGTCTGAAAGGCATTTAAAATAGTATTCAATATTGGCCCAGGGAAAGTTAGACCAACACTGCCCTAAGCTGCTGGTAAAACTGTAGACAGACCCAGTGTTTTGAAAAGCATCTGGCAGTATGTATCAAACGCCCATCAGGTCTTTACTTTCAGAAATCTAAACTAAAACTGGCAATGAATAAAAGTATACAAGTTAAACTTTGTTATAGCTGAAAAAAATATTTATCCTTTAGAACTGTTATAAAATGGAAAAATTAACCCAGAGGGGGAAAACGCCTGGTTAAATGTAACTTATAGATTTATTTTAGCTTGTATAACTGGTAAAATCTATTATTGCTGAAAAAATATTAGAAGAATCAACTGTCTTATGATTTGGATATTCAAGGTTTTTTTGTTTTTTTGATCTTCAAGTTTTCAAGTTTTAATACAAATAGTAACAATGGCTGAAGAAGGAAAACTCAGTGCGGCAGGTGTAATTGTATAATCTGACCTGCTTATGATCTGGTTAATTAATCATATGTCTACAGAAAACAATGATAGATAGCTCTTTGGTTGAGTTGACTCTGGTTTAACTGAATGTGACAATGTTTCCCATCAAAATTTCAGCCCTTTTAGTACAATTTTAACTGTTATATACAGTATCAAACATACTTGTGATCAAAACTGCCTCCCCTCTGTTATATTTATAATTGTTTTTTTTTCCTTGCCACTATCTGCATCAAAAATTTGAACACACAGTAGCCACTCACTACCTTTCAGATTTCTAAATATACAGGTTAGAAACATAGTAGGTGCTATTTCAAAACAGTGTGGTTGTTAAAATGTTATTGCCTACCAATTTTTCTTCCTGGAGGACAAAACATATCCATGATCATTTCCATACTTCTCTGGAAGTCATCATCAGCTAGAATTTCTGATGCTGGAATCTGAAAGAATTTGTCCTTAGAAATTGCAATAGAAGGAAAAAGAAAATGTTAATAGTCAGACAATTTCACTATCAAAGTTGCAGCATTCATCAACTAAAGTACTGGTATGAATTATAAAATCTGATTTACTCCTTTAATCTTAAACAGTTTCAATATATACTCAGTCGAGTTAAATTGCTTTGTTTTAATGATGATTAACAACCAGACTCATTATTCTCTGTGCACAGGGAAATAAGTCAAATGTTAAAGGATAATTTTACAGCATATTTTCATTTTTTTCTTCCCAGTTGCTAAGTTTCAGGAAGGAAGGGATTTTATTTGCTTTCCTCACTACTATACCTCTAACAAATAGATGTACCTGATACATTGAAGGCACTCATGAATTGAGTCCGTAGGGGAGAGATTCTCCTTTCAACATCATCTTAGATTCTTCTCCAGTGACTGTAGTAAAAACTTAAATCTTACCTTAAGAGAAGTCTGGCTTTTGCTCTTAGTTGTAAGAGGTAATCTCTAACCTCTAAGGATGTCACACCCTGTCTTTGTCAAGGGGCCTTGCGTACTCTGGATAGGCTAACAGTGTGATGGAGTGGCTACTTTAGGGCATGTCGTATCAGACTGACCTCAGTCAGAATAAGGAAAGAAGGAGGGGGTGGGAAGTATTACTATGCTCCTAAATCTGTATGAAATACATGAAATTCATTCACCTTATAAAAAGTTTTTAAAAAATCTGCTTTGCTCACTAAACAAAACAAAAACAAAATAAAACCAAACACTTCTTGATGTTTGACTTGGTTGAGTTTCCTTGGTAGACTCTGCATCTCACTGGCTGATTTTGACCTGTATCTTTAAACTGTAGTAAACTGTAATCATGGGTATAGCAGCTTCCTGTGAGTTCTATGAATCATTCTTGTGAATTAAAACTAAAGAACTTCTGAATATGTAAATAGTGATAGAAATGAGTAATGCATATCTTCCTAAAAAGTAAATTCATTTCCCCAAATATGAAATGCTCACTATTAATAATACCTCTAACATTTTGATCGTAGAACTTCTAAATGGTATAGAGAATGACTCCCTTCTTAAATCTCTATTCCTCAACTTTTACTATTCAAATATTAAGATTTACAGTGTCAAATATATGTAAAATATCTACACATATACACAATCTAAGTGTTCATATCTTATTTATGCTTTAAATTGCCTTAAATCCTTTGAGAAACAAAGTAGGCATGAAGACATCTAATAAAATCAAACTATTTTAGTTAGAAATATCTTTACTTTCCACTACTTACAGTATCCATAAGATAAGCTTCCAACACTCCTGTTCCATCATCAAGAGTAAATGTCATGACAAACACATATTGGAGGGGCACAATACCCAATACTAGAGAAGGAAAAAAAAATCATACCATATGAGTCTGCTATTCCTTATTATCAAGGTAAAATTAAAATTGGTTCCTGATATTATATACCCATAAATTTGTTTACTAAAATAAAAAACCTTATGACTTTCACTCTCCCAACACCAACATACAAGTAATTTCAACATGAAAATGGACTGAAAAGGTAAAATGTAAAGATTATTCCTCAAAATAAGCCCCATCATGTTCAAGACACTTCTGTGAGCAATAACATCAGCCATTTACTCCATATCTAACAAACTGAGGATCCTGTAAATTCAGCCAGTCAATATCTTATTAACTGAAGAAAAGTGGGCGCCCTTCATAGATTTTGTGAGGTTAGGAAATAAAAAGAAATCAGAAGGAGCTAAATCAGGGCTGCAAGGTATATGTCTAATGATCTCCTACAGAAATTTATGTAATTACGGCCGGCGACGTGGCTCTCTTGATTAATCCTCTGCTGTGGTGCTGGCATCCCATATGGGTGCCAGGTTCTAGTTCTGGTTGCTCCTCTTCCAGTTCAGCTCTCTGCTGTGGCCTGGGAGGGCAGTGGACAATGGCCCAAGTGCTTGGGCCCCTGCACCCACATAGGAGACCAGGAAGAAGCTCCTGGCTTCAGATCAGCACAGCGCCAGCTGTAGAGGCCATTTGAGGAGTGACCCAACGAAAGGAAGACCTTTCTCTCTGTCTCTCTCTCACTGTCTACAACTCTACCTGTCAAATAAATAGATAAAATATAAAAAAAAGAAATTTATGTAATTGTCCATGTTTGAGAGGAATGAGCAGAAACCTTGTTGTGGTGAAGAACTCTCTATTCAAGCTTTTCTGGGCATTTCTGTCCTAACGCTTTGGCTAAGTCTCAAAATACCCTCCCAATAAGCAGACTCTATGGTACTTTGGGGCCTTCAGAAAGTTAACATGCAAAACCCTTTAAACTAACCAAAACACACACACACACATGCACACACAAAACTTCTATCAAGACCTCTGTTCCTTAAAAAAATTTTTTTTCATTTATTTTCATTTGAAAGGCAGAGAGGGAGATACTCATCCACCTACTGGTTCATTTCTCAATTGTCCACCACAGCCAGGGCAAGGCCCAGCTGAAGTTAGGAGCCTGCAATTCAATCTGTTTCTCTCATATAGGTGGCAAGAACCCAAATATTTGAGCCATTACCTGCTGCCTCCCAGGGTAGACATTTGCAGGAAGCTAGAGGACTTGAAACCCAGGCACTTCATTTCAAGATATGAATATCCTAAGTAGGATCTTAACAGCTGTGCCAAACTCACCCCATGACCTCTGCTTTTGATATGTCAGATCTGGCTTTGACTAGAACACTTCCACCTATTGGCAGCCACTATTTTGTCTTTAGAATTATAGTTGTCAAGCCAGATTTCAAGATCTGCTTAGAAACGTATCAGGATATTGACCTTGTCTAAGATTTCCCTTTTAAAATTTGCCTGCATCTGATCAGATGACAGTTTGGACACCCACTGAGCACTAATTGTTCCATTTCAATATTTTAGTGAGAAATGTGTAAGCCTAACCATTTGGGATATCTATGGTGTTAGATATTCTGTTGTTAACCATCAGTCCTCTTTAGGGACTGCATGAATAAAATTATTTTTTTCCTTGCAAACTGATATACATGGTCTGCCTTTGCAAGCTTCATTTTCAACATCATCTTCCTTTCTTAAAAGTAGTTATTCTGGGGATGATGTTGTGGCAAAGTAGGCTAAGACTCTGCCTGTGGTACCAGCATCCCATATGGGAGCCGGTTCATGCTCCTCTTCTGATCCTGGGAAAGTGGTAGAAGAAGGCCCAAGTTCTTGGACCCCTGTACCCACATGGGGGACCTGGAAGAAGCTCCTGGCTTCAGATTGGCCCAGCTCCAGCTGTTGTGGGCAACTGGGGAGTGAACCAGTGGACGGAGGATCTTTCTGTATCTTCCTGTCTGTAACGCTACTTCTCAAATAAAAAAAGAATCTTAAAAACAAAAAGATACTGCAAGATATACAGTAAGCACCTTGTGTTTACTATAATTTTATATATAAGTGATCCATTGGTGACTTTGGGGCACTGTCCCTATAAACTTTTATAAAGCATCACTAATTTCACCATTTACCTGCTGAAGCCTCATCATACATTTGATGTCTGTTTTTAGTTCAATTTTAGCAGAATTTGTGTTGCTCTGACAAGGGGCTGTTTTTGAGCTGATGATTTATCCTTCTTAAGTGCTTCAAATTAGATTCTAGACCCTATTCAGACATGTCATAACAAGGTAATATGACTTTAATTTGGTCAAAAATGTTTGAAATCCAGGCATCTTTTTCAGAATATACATTTTCCATTAACTATTTTTTTAAGACTTATTAATTTGAAAGGCAGAGTTGGAGGGAGAGGGGTCTTCCATCCACTGGTTCACTCCTCAAATACTCCAACAGCCAGGGCTCAGCCAGGCAGAAGTCAGGAGCTAGGAGCTTCTTTCAGGTTTCCCACGTGGGTGCAGGATCCCAAGCACTTTGGCCATCCTCTGCTGCTTTCTCAGGTGCTTTAGCAGAGTTGGTTTGAAAGTGGTGCAGGTGGGACTCAAACAAGTGCCCATATGGGATGCTGGCACTGCAGGTGTCAGCTTAACCCTCTACTCCACAGCGCCAGCCCCTCTATTAACCTTTTGATAATCTATCATGTTAAGGTCATTCAGCAGATTCATTTTGAAATGTATTTTTTATATACAGAGGTGATGCCTCATAATATTAAAAGCAATTATATCTTTTTTGATCATCTTTAAAATTAGCTGGAATCTTGATAGACACTATAAAGTGATTCATGAAATGCAACTCACTGCATGTTAGTCTTATGAAAGATACAAATGAAAATGCCAGAATGTTGCAAAAATTAGCATGAAGTATTTTATTAACATGAACTTCCTCTTTGTATTACAAGAATGAGAGATCCCTTAATGTTTAAGAAGTATCAGGCATCTGAATGGTAAATATGTCAAAGTATGGGATTTCATAATTTGGTAAGAACGAGAAACAAAGAAGAATTTGAACAAACTAAATTATATAATAATTCATAGGTTAAGTTGAACATCTTATGTTTGGAAAGGAAGACACTTAATATGTCTGTGGAATGCTAGCTTCCACATTTAAACAGTAGGATTAAGTAAGAAGAATAACTCAGGGCATATAAATGAGGATTGTGGCATATAGTAGATATTGTTAACAGACAAGAATAATTTCTTAAGTTCAAGAGGTCTCAATAAGCTAAAAATTTTATAAAACCTAACCTGAAAGACCATATGTTAGGGTTTAAGCAACAGTGTGGGTATCCCCTGAAAGCTCATGTATCAGGAACATGGTCCCCAAAGCTTATGTTAATGGTTAATGGATTAGTGTTAACAGTCAATGGACCAAGTGCAGAGACTTGATATAATTACGATGGGCTTAACCATTGGGTCATGGGGGAGAGCCCTCAGAAGGGCTCCTCCCTACTTCTGTCCTGTCACCCACCATTCTGAATTGGCCACACTACTTCTGCAGTCCTAGCTCCAGCTTAGAATGATATACTTTGAGAAGAGCATTGGTAAAGTGGAATTTTACTGAGGAGGAAAAACAACATAGTAAGCAATGTGGACAAGTGAAAAGGGAATTGAGGGGATCTGTTTGAAGAAATAAAGATTAAGTGAAGCTTAACAGATATCTTCACATGTACTAAGTCTGTTTATCTTACAGAAGAGTAAACAGGTGTACTAAGAATAGTTCTAGTAGTTAGAATCTGGTTCATGTTGAAGCTACAGGTAGAAAGACATCACTCCAATGTTAAGAACTGCCTAAAAATTAAATGGACATGTTGTCTTGCGATGTCATGAGTCTCTTTTCACTGAAACAGTTCTAAGCAAAGGCTAATGACTACATTTAAGAATGCAATATAAACTGATACTTTTCCAGTTATTGGGTAAAATGCTGTAATAGCTGTCTCTAAACTCTTTCATCTTGATATACTATGAACTGAGAGATTTGTTTTGGAGAATTTGTATTTTATAATCAATGACCAACATGAAAATGAATCTTAAATTAATGTAATCAATGCACATGCTTGTGACTTACGAGTATTTTAAACAGTTACTGTACATTTCTGTTATAGCCTAGGTTTATGTAAGCACAAATACTGAAATATAAATCATGGTGATAACCTTATACAGATAAAATTGCAAAGATGTGAAAATTTAGCTAACCTTCTGCCACAGAAGAAGGAATCCAGGATATTTTATCAACCAGAGAATTTAGATTTTGTATTGATCTCAAACTAGAACACTGTTTACATCTGAAATAAAAGAAATAACATTTAAAATTATTTAAGTCAAATATTTTAGTCAATTTTCACTGTTCAAAATGTAGTTTTGAAAAAATAAATAATTGAAAATATAGTGTACCTCTTACATTCCAATGTATTTGTAACTATAAAAAATAAGCTTTATACATAAAAGCACTAAAAATGAATAGTATGGAGAATAAACAGCTCTAAATTGAGAAAAGAGGACTTAGTTCCAGGTTTAAATCATTAATTTGGCTCTTAAATTTTTCTCCTTATTAACATAAAGTTGGAGAAGTAATCTCTAAGAACTGTTATGGCTCCAAGAGGAAAGTCTATTCGGTGATAGCTCATAAGAAAAAATTAGGAATAATTAATATTTTATTATGCACATATCCTGTTTAAAACAATTATTAAGCATCATAAACTATAAAGTATAAATACTCGGAGTGCAGTGGAGGATGGCCCAAGTCTTTGGGCCCTGCACCCCATGGGAGACCAGGATAAGCACCTGGCTCCTGCCATTGGATCAGCGCGGTGCGCCGGCTGCAGCGCACTGGCCGCGGCGGCCATTGGAGGGTGAACCACCGGCAAAGGAAGACCTTTCTCTCTGTTTCTCTCTCTCACTGTCCACTCTGCCTGTCAGAACAACAACAACAACAACAACAACAACAACAAAACTATACAGAATATTAAAATGGCACATCTTTAGGTATTTTTGTTTTAGTTATCTAACATGTCTTAAATGTAAGTAATTTTATTTTTCATTATACATCATGTTTAAGCTATAGTAAAAATGTACTTGTATTTCCACAAAAAATATATAAATTCAAAAGATACATGCAGATTTTTTTTCATTTGCACTCTGGTGAAAATAGAATACACTAACTTCTATCCCCTCAAATCAAGTACAATGCTTCTGAACCAAAGAAATAACCAAATAAAAGAATAATCCCTTAAAAAAAGATATTGATTAACATTCGACATTGATAAATCAATCATACAAATTAAGGGCACTAAAAAAATTAAGAATTTATTACTTCCAAAGAGTAAGACCAAAAGGACAAAACTAGGAACAGATTAACAACTTAGTCCAACAAAAAACTAAAGAAAAAATTCTTGAAAAGGATAGAAAAGTAAAAACATGGTATGTAGAAAACAAATTTTTATATTTAATAATTTAAAAATGTACTTTAAACTCACATTAAAAATAACAAGAATCTGACCATAGCTTTTATTTATAAGTGACATACAAATACAATATTGGGTAAGACTCGGTTAAGAAGCATAAGCAAAATGAAGAACAAAGTACAGATTTAAGACCCATCAGAAAATAATAATTATGTCAATTAATACTTTTCTAGAACAAATTTGTTAATAAAATACAGAAACTTAAAAGATAAATAACCATAAGAGAATCTAAACCATTACCCTAAAAGCATTAAGCCCAGACAACTTATGAAAAACTTTTCAAGACAGATTAGATTATTTCTTATTGGAAAGGGTCTACAATAAGAAATTCATTTTATATCAAGTCTCAGTGTACACATACATACAACTGAAACAAGTTTAAGGGACAACACTAGCCCTTCTAATGTAAAATGTTCTTTGTTGTACATTCCATTTTATAATACAATCAGTTCATACCATTAAAAAAAAGCTGGTCATGACCCACTGAACTGTATTATGACCAAAGAAAATATTTAATGGCTTTATCTAGCAATTTTTGTAAATGAAAAAAGATACCTATTACTAGGAAATGAATTCAAAAATTATATATAATTAAATTCTATGGATTAACTTTGAAAACAATACTGTGTTAAAACAAGCATCAGAAGGATAAATTATAAAACAACTTATAAATTGGGCCATCACTGTGGCGTGGCAGGTAAATCTGCTTCCTGCAGTGCTGGCATCCCCTATGGGTGCCAGTTGGAGTCCCCACTGCTTCACTTCCCAACCAGCTCCCTGCTAATGCTCCTGGGAGAGCAGTGTAGGATGACCCAAAGGCTTTGGCCCCTGTTCCTATGTGGGAAACCTGCAAGAAGCTCCTGGCTTTGGATCAGCCCAGCTCCAATTTGGGGAGTGAGCCAGCAGACGGAAGATCTAACTGCCTTTGAAATATATATTTTTTAAAATTTATATAAGAAATGCCAAAAACGCCATCCTGCTATATTAAAAGCATAAACATGCTGATGAGGACAGATTACAAGTTTGGAAAAGTAGTTAACTCTGAGAAGAGCACAGACTGGTATGGAGATGTGCTGCTTCTCTGTAAAATTTTTTTTTTTATTTTTTATTTTTTTTTTAACTTTTATTTAATGAATATAAATTTCCAAAGTACAATTTATGGATTACAATGGCTTCCCCCACATACCGTCCCTCCCACCCACAAATTTTAATTTCATAAAGCCTAAGTGTGGAAAGCGATGTGATACACTGCATTAAACTGCCACATGTAAAGCTCGCATTCCATTTGAGCACTGGCTTGAGTCCTGGCTGTTCTGCCTCTGATCCAGGTCCCTGCTAATGTGCCAGAGAAAGTCGTGGAAGATGCCTTCAGTTCTTGGGTCCTTGCCACCCACTTGGGAAACGTGGGATGGATTTCCAGGCTCCTGGCTGTGGCCAGTTAGGGGGTATACCAGTAGATGGAATAGCCCCCCCTCTTTTTTTTAAAGACCTATTATTTGAAAAGCAAAGTGACAGATACATAAACTGTTGAGGTCATGTATGATATTTTTCTGTAAGTTTGAAACTATTGCATAACGCAAAAGAAAAATCAAGTTACTTGGATTTTGCTGTGACATCCAAGTGATGGAAATTTCCAAGAATGTTCTAAACTCGAGAGTGAACAGAATTTCTAGTATCTTAGACAACTTTTTTAGACTTATAGTAAGTGAGAAATTATACTCCAAAGTTTAGAATTAATATTTGCTCTCCTGGTTTAGAATGAACAAGGCCAGAGAGTGTGAAGGAGTATGGAGAGAGAAAAGGCAAGTAAGTGAGGAGCATGAATACAAGACAAGGCCCATGTGAGTGACTTATTAAACAATTTGAAGGATTTTTGTTTTTGTATTAATTGGTAGATGAATCTCAATGACATTTACTCTAAGGTTATGAGTCCAGTGAGAGATGTAATTATAAAGACACTAGGCACATCAGAGTACACAAGGACATAGCCTGGGGATTTAACACATGACACACTAGTTCCACCTTATGCCTGCCACTTGGTATGTGTTTGTTGCGTATGGAATAGAACTCAGAGTAATATCTACCAATGACTCTGGTGGTCACAATCAAGGAGACATGATTGCAGTGTGTAATTTTTCAACTAAAATCAAGAGTTTTACATTATACCTATCACTAACAGTTGCTACAAACTTGAGAGTTGAAAAGGGTGAGACATGGATAGACAAGATGTATCCTACCATAATCCAAGGTTTCTCAAAGCAGAGTATTTCCATGGAGACTGTTACATAAAGCAATAGAGATTTCATCCCCACTCTCTCCTTCTAAATCTAGAAATGTGGTTGTAGCTCCCAGTGCAACCTTTTATCTTCCAATTATCAGTGGCAGCAAATTTATAATGTAGCGGCTCAGATTTTTTTTTTTTTGGACAGGCAGAGTGGACAGTGAGAGAGAAGACAGAAAGGTCTTCCTTTTCCATTGGTTCACCCCACAATGGCCACTGCGGCCCGCGCACTGTGCTGATCCGAAGCCAGGAGCCAGGTGCTTCTCCTGGTCTCCCATGTGGGTTCAAGGCCCAAGCACTTGGGCCATCCTCCGCTGCACTCCCGGGCCGCAGCAGAGAGTTCGACTGGAAGAGGAGCAACTGGGACAGAATCCAGTGCCCTGACCAGGACTAGAACCCGGGGTGCCGGCGCCGCAGGTAGAGGAAATTCTAGAATTCAGTCACTAGGTTTGCATTTCTGAATTTCTTTTTGCAGTTTGTACCTACATCCTGTTGTTACAGAAAGTGAGTACTAGCCTCTGGCTGAAGAATAGAAAGCTGGTAGCCTCACACTTAGCACACTCTGTGCACACAATATTTATATATTTATCAAAATACATTTACACTAGAAAAACCTAGTATAGATGCTTCTTGACTTAGAATGGGATTAGGTCCCAATAAATCTGTTTATGTGGAAAATACTATAGAGTGAAAATGCATGTAATATACCTAACCTATTGAATATCATAGCTAAGTAATAGTACTCCATGTAGGATTAATTTTTTATCATTGTTGTGTGGTTGATTGGGAGCGGTGGCTCACTGCTGCTGCGCATCACAGAAGAGATCGTACCCCAACTTTTAGCCCAGAAAAAGATAAACATTTGAAGTAAAGTTTTTACTGAATGTCTGTTGTTGCTCTCACATCATTGTGAAGTCAAAAAAAAAAATTGATGTCGAGTCATTGTTAAGTTGGGGCTGGCACTGTGGCGTTGCGGGTAAAGCTGCCGCCAACAGTGCCGACATCCCACGTGGGCGCTGGTTCCCAGTCCCAGCTGTTCCTCTTCCGATCCAGTGCTCTGCTATGGTCTGGGAAAGCAATAGAAGATGGCCCAAGTCCTTTGGCCCCTGCATCCACATGAAAGACCCAGAAGAAGCTCCTGGCTTCTGATTGGCACAGCTCCAGCTGTTGCAGCCAATTGGAGAGTGAACCAGCAGATGGAAGATCTCCCTCTCTCTGCCTCTCTTCCTCTCTGTGTAACTCTTTCAAATAAATAAATCTTTTTTTTTTTTAAATGTTGTGGACTATCTATGCATAACCGTGGATACCCAATAAGTAACATCAAACATACAGTAATCACTTGCATAAAAATCAAAAATAAAAACTACTCTTAAGCAATTTCTAATTCCAAAAATTAAGTAGACATACCCATAGTGAAGTATCTTTCCTTGTATCAGGAATGGTGCTGAAAGGTCTAGGAGTTCTAGATCTTCCTGGCCAGATTTCACCGGAATTACACTATGAAACTTATTTGCGAGTTTATAGATTTCAGAGAGTGTACCTCCTGTTATAACAGAATAAAGATGCCTGTTAAGTAGCAAAAATATAATGTACAGAGCATAGAGTACCTGAAAAAAGGTTAAAGCGACTAACAGAAAGCAAAGCAAAACAAAAAACAATGGAAATAATAAATGTAGAGATTCAATATACTATTGTGAAAAAAATATAAAACTAGGATTCCACATACTATTTAAAGAAATCACTGCATAAGATTCTGAGACTTAAGTAAAGTATAAAGCTTGAGAAATTCCATCTACCTTCTTAAATTTAGATTGTCTTTTGCACTAGAAATTCTGGTTTAAATAACAAAAAAACTGAATGCCAAAGTATGATAGGTTTTTTGCTATTAAATTTGCTATATACTATTAGTGGCTAAGTAAACTTAGTTTTCAGTGTGAAATAAATCTTTTAAATGTTCAGGTCAATACTGAATTTAAACATAAGAACAGTTCATGTAATATCAATTTATTATATAATATTTCTTCATTTTTCTGGGAAAACCAGTACATATTCCCCTGTCCCTATGTTAGGGTAAAGCATTAAGTTATTAAGATTGCTACAACAAAAATAGTATGCCCAATGGTGAACCATTATTAGAAGGCAGCATTATCACTGAAACTCACACCTACTGGTACTTTCTCCAGTATACTTTGCACTTACATTTAATAATGCTTCTTCTCTCTAGGGAAAGACTATAATTAAAAAAATACCTCTGTGTACATCCTAAAATTCAGGTAGAATGTACAATGTTAACATTCAGTTCAAAAGAAAAGCCCTTCTGCCCAGAACTTCCAAAAAATGCACATTTCCATAAAAACGTTAAGAACGTTAGCAGAAAGTGTCAAACTCATTATTTTCCAGAGTTCTAAAAAAATATTTAGAGGCTTAGTAGAGTTTCATGAAGATCCAGAGAAATGGCTGAATCTTGGTAAAAACAGTGAGCTTTGTAGCGTTCTTCATTTGCAGTGTTCCCATCTTCCTTTCCCTTGCTCTGTGTTAGCTTGGAGCCACTGTTCTGCTATTTCAAACTATAGTTAGACCTTGAGCCCTGATTATGCCATCTCAAAAACTTGAAACAATATTCTGTAAGCCTGCAATTTAAAAGCTTCATGGCAACAAAGCTACACCTTATCTTCTGGAGACTGATATCAAACTCTGCTAACCAGACCCCTGCCCAATACTTAAAACTGCAATGGGTAATTATTAAAAGAGTCCTTTCTGTACATGTTTTACCCAAAGAACATCATTCCAAAATACCTAATGAGCTTCCAGTCCGGCCATCTGCACTTGTTTTCCCAACACTGGCTCTAGCACATTAGCTACATTATCTTGGTCAAGTTACTTAAACTTTAGTATACCAGTTTCCTCATTTGTAATACAGGGAATAATGTTGCTATTTTATAAGGTCTTTACAAAAGTTAAATAAATGAAGTTTTAAAACATTTTGAAGAAATCTCTGTCACTGTGAAATGGGTTAATATAAGAGTTCCCACCTACTGCTTTACTACCCAAATGCCAGCAACAGGCAGGGCTGGACCAGTTTGAAGTCTGGAGTTGGGAACTCTATCCAGGTCTCCTATGTGTGTAGCAAGGACTCAACTTCTTGAGCCATCATGTGCTGCCTCCAGAGTGTGTGTTAGCATAAAGCCGGAATTGAGAATGGAGCTGGGACTAAAACCTGGCCTTGATATGGGATGTAGGTGTCCCAACCAATGTATTAACTGCTAGGCCAAATGCATATTCCTAAGTTAATATTTTTAAAGTACTTATGACTGTCTGTGACTATTATTATTCTTTCTGATCCTCTCAAGTATAAAGTCCATGAAAGGAAACACTTTGTCTTGTTTGCTGCAATACCACTCAGCCCTAAATCAATGCATGGGACACAGTAGGCACTGAACAAACATGTGCCAAATGAATGAGCACAAAGATATTTGTGAATTGCAGGATTAGGTTTACATCTAAAGATGTTCTAACTGACAACAATTTATTTGTAATGACTAGAAAGACTCAGCACCAATTACACAGGTAGAAGGACACAGTTTTGAGTTTGTCCTATATTTAGTCTTTAATGCTGGGCTATTTTCCATCTTCTCCAGATACTACGTCTCACTCATCCAAGTGGCCAAGTGTGATGGTTATTTTACATGTTGACTTGACTGGACCATATGGTATCTACATATTTAGTTAAACATTACTCTCTGAGGATGTTTTTTGTGTGGGGTTAACATTTAATTGCTAGGCTGAGTACCCTCCCTAATGTGAGTGGGCCTCATTCAATGAAATGAAGATGTGAACCATGAAGCGTGGGCCTAATTGGGGCATGCACTCTCCGGACTTTGAGCCCACCAGCCTTCAGATCAGAATGACACCACTAGTCTCATACCCTCTAGCCTGCCCATCAGCTTGTCAGCTTCCATAATCATGTGCTCTACTTTATGGTTATAAGTGCTTTATAGATCTGTATTTGCATTTAAATTTTGGTGGTAGAAATGCTAGTATATGTTGGGAAATGTTGAGGAAAAGGACATCACAGATGCTGCTAAAGCATATGCCCACTAGGATAACTTCATTAGAAATTAAAACAGTAACATATGTCCTGATGGTTAAATGAATACATAGAAGAGAAAAAAGCAATTGCCACTTATAGTAGTTTCTGGTATATTGTAACAGTGTACACTGAAAAAGGGTTCTGTTCATGAAAATGATGATAATCAGCAATATTAGTACAATAAAGGCTATTTTTATTTACTGAATGAAACTAAGTATTCAATACAAATTTAAGATGTTTTCCTTTTAATTTTAGAAAGATATGAAGCAAGAAAAGCCTCAAGGGAAATAATGAAATATTAAATTTGAAATGCGAAAAAGATGTATGGTACATGGGCTGAGTATCACTTATGTGAAATGTTTGGGGCCAGAAGTGATTGTTTTTTTTTTTGATTCTGGAATATCTGCATATACATAAAGAGGTATCTTGAGGCTGGGAGGCAAGACAAGTCTAAACATGAGACTATTTACAGACCTTATACATACAGTATTTGTAATGCATCTGTGTTTTGACTGTGACCCATTATATCAGGCCAGGTGTGAATTTTCCACATGTGGTGTCATGTTGGTGTTCAAAAGTTTTGAGATTTGGAGCATTTTGGATTTTCAGATTAGGGATTCTCAACCTGTACATATTAAATATTAGATAAAAATGGAAAAGAAAAAGCATGACACAATTTTTTTCTCTCAAAACTTATGAATTATCTTTACTTGTTTCAATATATGATGAAACTTGTTTCAATATATGATGAAGTTTTAAAACATGTTGAAGAAATCTCTGTCACTGTGAAATGGGTTAATATAAGAGTTCCCACCTACTGCTTTACTCCCCAAATGCCAGCAACAGGCAGGGCTAGACCAGTTTGAAGTCCGGAGTTGGGAACTCTATCCAGGTCTCCTATGTGTGTAGCAAGGACTCAACTTCTTGAGCCATCATGTGCTGCCTGCAGAGTGTGTGTTAGCATAAAGCCGGAATTGAGAATGGAGCATCTATGGATGCCCTTCATCTATTTTTGTGAAACAGTGACATGAAGAGGCCAAGACTATAGCCACTGTACACAGCATTCAGCCTCTTAGGTATTCAACTATCAACTCAGGGATGATTTCATGAAGGAAGTGAGAGAAATGAATATAAACGCTTTAATACATAATCTCAAAAGGCAATTCGATGAATTTAGGTGTATATATATATATATATATGTTTTGATCCAGTTGACATATATAATATACTCTATTTTATAAAATTTAATTTTATGTATTAGGTTGCTTACAAACTAACAATTATTTTAAAACATGCAAAAGTAGTATTCTAACATGATAACTTAAATATCTTACCTTCTATCAAAATTAGACACTCATTTGAAAGTGGAAGAATACCATTATGTTTCACAAAATGAACAGCTACTTTTCGTCCTCCTTGTTCTTCTGTGGTCCAAATTTTTGAATCATATAATAATGTATTATGTAGTTTGGTATCTGGGGTTTTAGTTGCATTTTCTTTCAAAATTATATCCAAATTGCCTTCCTGTGGCACTTCCTGCCTAAAATCAATAGAAAACAATTTTGGTATAAGCTGGAAAATTCCAATTTAACAAGTTATACAATTAACAAATATTTTTATATGCATAGGAGTAAACTTAAAATGTGGAAATTCACTTGATTGAATAAATTACATATTCATAAGGTAATAAAACATTCCTATAAATTTGCTTATTTATATAGTATAAAGAATAAAAGTTTTGGAATAAAGACTTTTAGGTACTGAGAATTTCTCATTAAAGGAAATGTAATTACTTTTAGTATATTATAGTTATGAAGCAGGAAAGAAATGTTTCCAACTAGGTTTTCTGTATTACATCATTAGAAATTTCAGCCAGCGGAATTTAAGAATTTTTGGTCAACAGTAGGCAATGCAAGGTAGGTGGAGTCAGATTGTTCACACTCACACACCAAACATCTTCACAAGAGCTGAAAGATCTAGTAGACCATGGTTTCTCGTTTTAATGTAGTAAGAAGAAAAGATGTATTGAAAAAGGAAGAAAGGAAGCAGATACCAGTTGTCACTCCCCCAGCAATGTGAAGCCACACAGAACGGAGACAGAAGCCTGCTGCTTGGGAGAGGAAGACAGAATCAACTCCAGGCCTTATAGTGGAAACTCAGTATCAAGGCCTGCTATGGTGAAACCCAGTGTTCCAGGTCAGTGTCCTAGAGAGCACCTCTGAACACAGCCAGATGGCGGACAATGGAGCAAGACTCCAGAAGCTGGGTAGTAAGGCAGCAAAGTGAATACAGGATATTGCCTTGGAGCCCAGTGCCAGCCTGCTGTGGTGAGACCCAGCACCAGATAGAACCCATAAACTTCTATCTCTGGGTCACTGCTCCTGGACAAAGCCTCTACACCTCCCTTGGCAGACAGTCTTGTGTTTTGGCCTGAATTACTCTGCCAAGCATGGGTGGGACTGGCAGGGACAACCAAGAATGTTCAGCACCCTGTATGTGTGAGAATGAAGAAGAGTGAACTTTATGTTCAGACTGGGTGGCAAAGGACTGCCTCTACCACCCATCTCTCAACTTCATGTACACAGGAAGGTGTGAGAATTCAGCTGCAGGGAATAAGGCAGGAAGGTGAGCACAGGCCACTGCCTTGGAGCTCAGATATGGTCCTAGTGGTGAGACTCATTAACAAAAAGACCCCAAAGACCCCTATTGTCAGGCCAGTGTATGCAGTTGGAGCTTGCAAACCTGCCGTAGCATCTGGCAGACACTATTCCTTTGGTGTGATGGACTTGTGGGTTGGCCTGCAGCAATGCTAGTCACATCTAAAATTGGCATGCACCCCAAGATTATGCAGGTCCTTCTGCTGGGAGACACAGGGGGCCCTAGCTTAGAAGCAGCCTGAGTAGATAAGGACTGCTTCTACCACCTCTCCACCAATCTCACGCAGACAGAGAGGAGTAAGACTCCAGTCCTTGGAGTGTGGAGTAGAGCAGGAAAGTGAGCAAAAAACTTTGTTTTGGAACATGGTGCTAGGCTGGGTGTTAGAAACTAATGCTGGGCAGGTCATAATAATCTTAGTTCCCAGGTTTGTGCCCACAGAGCCTCTTGACCCATCTTGGGGCACGGCAGAGATCCATGGCCCCAGTAGATCAGATTTAGACCCTGGCTGGCATCACTGGTGGTGGTCTCAGTCCACAGGAGGCAGCCCATGGCAGCATGGATCTTGTGCTGTGCTGCCTTCAGTGGCTAAGCGTTTTTGAGAGCGATGTAGCATGGCAACACTGAAACACCATTTCTTCCCCTAAAACTAGGCAGCAAGCATGGAAAGATTAATTGTTCACTTGAGGGGAGAAAAGAGGTTGGAATCAAGTCATTGAAAGGAGTGTGGGGCTACGTGCACCCAAGGAAAATGCAGAGCTGGACAGGGTCTGACAGTGCTTGACCACAGGACTGTTACTGTGGACAAGGCCCTGAGGCCTAACCTAGATTACCGTTTGTAGACACTTCTCCAGTTCTTTCAAAAAAACATCAACTGCAGATTTGGAAGAAACCTGGGTATGGGGAGACCTCTAGTGCTAAAAAAGCAAAAACACCAACAGAGGACTTGTGCAAAACCCAGAATTAAGGTGCCATCTAGTGGTAATATACTAGAAGTATCCACAGACACAAAATACACCTGTGTCAGTTTCCTTGGTAAAACAGGCAAAAGGAAAGCCATTTGAGAGGCATAGTTAAAAGATAAAAGCCACTGGGGCCGGCGCTGTGTCGCAGCGGGTTAAAGCCCTGACCTGAAGAGCCAGCATCCCATATGGGCACCGGTTCTAGTCCCAGCTGCTCCTCTTCTGATCCAGCTCTCTGCTGTGGCCTGGGAAAGCAGAAGATAGCCCAAGTCCTTGGGCCCCCCTGCACTCACTTGGGAGACCTGGAGGAGGCTCTAGGCTTCCGATCAGCGCAGCTCTGGCTGTTGTGACCATCTGGGGAGTGAACCAGCAGAGAAGACCTCTCTTTTTAAAAAAAAAAAAAAAAAAAACTTTCAATAAAATCTTTTTTTTTTTTTAAGATAAAGGCCATCAGGAAAAAAAACCAAGTAACTCCACAAATGTCTACAAATAAATGCAGAAATTAAAGGAACAAGAATAAAGACATCATGACACCCCAAAAGGAACACAACAACATCTCATTATTAGAATATGAAGATGAAGAGATTGATGAAAAGCCAGAAACAGAGAATTCAAGAGATTAGCCATAGGATTACTCAAAAGCACTCAGAAGCAAATCCAGGAACTAAAGAAAACCTCACATGACATGAATGAAAATTTTTCCTATGAAATTGAAATTTTAAAAAGAAATCAAAATGAAATATTAAAAATCAAGAATTCAATTGATCAAATAAAAAATGTGGTAGAAAGCCTTAACAGACTAGGTGAGACAGAAGTAAGACTATCCAAGTAAGAAGACAAAGCTTTGGAAATCTTTCAGTCAGACACCCCTAGCCCCTACTACCGCCAATAAAAAAGAAATTAGAAAACTTAAAAACAGTGCTGGATATTTGTGGGATACTACCAAATGACCCAACATGTGGGTCTTAGGAATTCCTGAAGGTGTGGAAAGAGATAATGGACTAGAAGGCCTATTTAGTGAAATAATTACAGAACACTTCCCCAGTTTGGAGAAACAAAGGGAAATCCAAGTACAGGAAGCACACAGAACTCCTAATAAACATGGCCAGAAAAGATCTTCACCACAGCACATTGTAGTAAAACTTTCCACAGTAAAACACAAAAGATTCTAAAATGCACACAAGAAAATGCCAGATTATGTTCAGAACTCCAATTAGACTCACAGCTACAGGCTAGGAAATAATGGAGGGATATAGTCCAAGTCTTGAGAGGAAAAAACTCAAGCCAGAATATTGTACCCTGCAAAATTCTCATTTATGATAGAAGGTAAAATAAATACCTTCCACAACAAACAGAATATAAAAGAATTTGTTACCACTAATCCAGCCTTACACAAGATGCTTTACAGCTACAGGATAGGAAATAATGGAGGGATATAGTCCAAGTCTTGAGAGGAAAAAACTCAAGCCAGAATATTGTACCCTGCAAAATTCTCATTTATGATAGAAGGTAAAATAAATACCTTCCACAACAAACAGAATATAAAAGAATTTGTTACCACTAATCCAGCCTTACAAAAGATGCTTTAAGATATACTACAAACATAGCCATTATTCTGAAAGAATGTGAAGGCAAAAAAATCTACCAGTAAAATTCATAAGAAATTCAAAGTAAACAATTGGAATATTTATGGAAAAATGGCAGGTCCAAGTTGAATGTAAATAGCCTCAACTCTCCAGTTAAAAGATACAGCCTGGACAAATGGATTAAAAAACAAGACTGATCTATTTGCTGCCTACAAGAAACATATCTCACCAAAAAAGATACACACAAAGTGAAAAGATTTAAAAATATTCCATGTTGATGGAAAGCAACAAATGGCAGGTATAACCATCCTAATATCAGACAAAATAGACTAACACAAAAACTGTTAAAAATGACTAAGAAGGGTACTATGTAATAATTAAGGGATCAATTCAACAGGAAGATGTAACTAGTATAAATGTATATGCACCAAAACACAGCAACCTGGCTATTTAAAAGAAATGTTAATAGACCTAAAGGGAGACATAAACTCCAATACAATGGTAATGGGGGACTGTCAGCACCCCACATTCATCAATGGAAAGATCAACTAGAAAGAAAATCAACAAAGAAACAACAGAGCTAATCGAAACTATGGACCAAATGGACCTGATACAGAATTTTGTACCCCACAGTTGCAGAATACACATGCTTTTCACCAGTGCATGGAACCTTCTCTAGGACACACAACATGCTAGGCCCAGCAAATTTAAAAACAATAGAAATCATACCATGCATCTTCTCTGACCACAATGGAATGAAGCTGGAAATCAACAACTCAAGAATCTCTAGAATAAATGAAAACAAAATGAGACTGAACAACATGTTCCTGAATGGACAGTGGGTCACAGAAGAAATCGAGAAACAAATTTCTGGAAACAAATGGAGATGACACTAAATTATATCAAAACTTATGATATACAGCAAAAGCAGTGTTAAGAGGAAAGTTTATAGCAATTAGTGCCTATAAAGAAAGTGGAAAGGTACCAAATAAATGAGCTATCAGTGCATCTCAAGGATCTAGAAAAAAAACAGCAAACCAAACCCAAAACTAGTAGGGGAGGATATCACAAAAATAAAAAGAAGCCTCAGGAATTACTACAAAGAGCTGTATGCAAACAACTTGGATACTTACAAGAAATGGATAGATTCCAAGACACATAAAACCTACCTAAATTGAGTCATGAAGACATAGGGAACCTAAAAATGCCAATAACCAAAATGGAGATTGACTCAGTTAAAGACCTTCCCAATAAAATACAGCCCAGGAACAGATGGCCTCACTGCTGAATTCTACCAGACATTTAAAGAATGAATTCCAATTATTATCAAGCTATTTAAAACAATTAAAAGGGAGGGAATCCTCCCAAAATCCTTTTGTAAAGCTAGCATCACCTTAATTCCTAAACCAGAAAAAGATACAACAGAAAGAAGACTATAGGCCAAAATCACTGATGAACATAGATGCAAAAATTATCATCAAAATATTAGCTAATTGAGTCCAACTTCAACAGTCCTGTACTACAAGAAATGTAAAGGAAGTTTTTCCAACTGAAAGAATGAGACACTAATGAAAAAGAAGAAAATACCAGAAGGTAGCTCACTGGTAAGAGTAGCTACAGAAATTCATAATGCTGTAATGTTCCAGTCACAGTCATAACCACTCATTTTAGTATGACAACTAAATAAAAATGATTTAAAATAACTACTATTAACATATAGAGATAGGCAATGCAGATATATACAATGGAATATCAGAATTTTAAAATATAAGGAGGAATGGACTGTATGTATAGAGTTTTTATTAGTATTTTTAAAATTCCTTTTGTTTCCTTTTCTATCTTTCCTATCATTTAAAGTAGCCTGTAATAATCAAAATGTTTTTCCATAAGCCTCACAGTAAATACAGAACAAAACTCTATAGTAGAATAACAAACATAATAAGGAATAAAAACACATTACTGGAGAAAATCACTGAGCCACAAAGGAGGGCTATGAGAGAGGGAGAAAGAAAGAAAGGAACTAATATAAACTAGAAAACAAGTCAAGACCCAACTAGATGCTTCTTACAAGAAACTAACTTCACTTCAAAAAACAATTATGGGCTGAAAGTAAAGGTATGGAAAAAGGTATTCAGTCAATTGGACTTGGAAAAAAAATAGGAGTAGCCATACTTATAACAGGAAAATAGACTTTAAGTCAAAAAATAGTAAATATATATGCACCTAATATCAGAGTACCCAAATACATAGAGCAATATTAACAGACTTAAGGAGGGAGAGATTTCAATACAACAGGGGGATGTAACAGTCTACTTTAAGAAATGGACAGACCATCAAGACAGAAAATCAACAAACAGCAGATAAAACTACACCTTATACCAACTGGACTTAGCAGACATCCCTAGAATAGTCCATGCAAGCTGCAGAATATATACATTCTTAACAGTACATGGAAACTATTTGACTAGATCAAATAGTAGGCCATAAAAACATGTCTCAACAAATTTAAAACATGCAAAAACATATCAAGTATCTTTTCTGACCACAATGCAAAAAAAGATAAATAAAACCCTAGTACTCAATAAGAAAAAATTAGGAAACTATGCAAATATATAGAAGTTTATTCTTGAATAAGTTAATTAAAAACTTCTTGAAATGAATTAAAATAGAAATACAACATACAAAAACCTATGAGGTACAGGAAAAGCATACTAAGAAATTTATAGCAACCAACACTTACATCCAAAAACACAACAGATATAAAATAAACAGCATAACCCTATAGCTCAAGGAATGAGAAAAACAAATCAAACTCAAAATTTGTAAAATGAACGATAATAAACATTGGAGAAGAAACAAATGAAAAATAATCTAAAAGCAAAAAATCCAGGAAATGAAAAGCTGGTTCTTAGAAAAGAAACAAAATTGACAAACTCTTAGCTAACAAAGAAGAGAAAGGTCCCAGATTAGAGACAAAAAGAAATACATTACAAACTTACTCCATAGAAATACATAAGATCACTAGAAATCATTATAATTACATGCCAATAATTTTATAAAGCAGAAGAGACGAATGACTAGACAAGCACATCTTACTATAATAGAATCATGAAGAAAGTACCTGAAAAGACCAATAACTGACTTATAATAAGAGTGACTCAGCAATAAAGTCCCCTATCAAAGAAAAGTTCAGTAGCAGATGGCTTCACCATTCAATTCAGCAAACATTTAAATTCTTCCAAAATACAGAAGAGAATATTCATTCTATCCCATTCTATGCAGTCAGTATTAGTTTAAAACTAAAACCAGAGGGCAGTGATGTGGCATAGCTAGTAAAGCTGCCTCCTGCAGTGCCAGCATCCCACATGGGCAGAGGTTCAAGTCCTGGCTGCTGCATTTCTGATTCAGCTCTCTGTCATGGCCTGGGAAAGCAGCAGCAGCAGCAGAGCAGTAGAAGATGGCCCAAGTCCTTGGGCCCCTGCACCTGAATGGGAGACCTAGAAGAAGCTCCTGGCTTTGGATTGGCCCAGCTCTGGCTGTTGCAGCCAGAGTGAACCAGCAGATGGAAGACCACTCTCTCTATTACTCTGCCTTCCAAATAAATAAAATTTAAAAAAATCTTTAAAAAAAAACTAAAACCATAAGAATATAACACTCACATAGACAACTCCTTTATGAACATAGATGAAAAAATCTTCAATCAAATCAAATAGCCTATTAAAAATACTATTCATCGGCCGGTGCCGTGGCTCACTAGGCTAATCCTCTGCCTGCGGCGCCGGCACACCAAGTTCTAGGGGCGCTGGATTCTGTCCTGGTTGCTCCTCTTCCAGTCCAGCTCTCTGCTGTGGCCCGGGAAGGCAGTGGAGGATGGCCCAGGTCCTTGGGCCCTGCACCCGCATGGGAGACCAGGAGGAAGCACCTGGCTCCTGGCTTCGGATCGGCACAGTGTGCCAGCTACGGCGGCCATTTAGGGGGTGAATCAACGGAAAAGGAAGACCTTTCTCTCTCTCTCTCTCTCTCTGCCTGTCAAAAAAAAATACTATTCATCACAAGGTGGGATTCATCACAGGGAGGTAAGGATGTTTGAACATATGCAAATTAGTAAATGTGATATGCCAAATTAAACAGAACAAAATTTATGCAATCAGTTCAACAGATGTAAAAAATGGCATTTGATAAAATTCAATAATCTTTCATGGTAAAAACCACTGAACAATACAGAAGCTCTTCAAAAAATTAAATTGCTATATGACCAGCAAGACCTTTACTCTGTATATATCCAATAAAAATAAAATCAGTCTGTTGAGGAGACATTGCACTCCATGATTATTGCAATACTATTCACAACAGTGAAAAAATGGAAGCCTAAGTGTCCCAGAGTAGATAAAGAAAATTTGGTGGCCATACACAATGGAATACTATTCAGTTATAAAAAGGAAGAAACTCTGTCAATTGCAACAACATAGATGGAACTACATTCCTTATGTTAAGTGAAACAGGCCAGACATATAAAGAAAAGTACTTCATAATCTCACTTACAGAACCTAAAAAAGTTGATCTCTTAGTATGTATGAATAGAATGGTGGTTATGTGAAGCTTAGCAGGGTTCAGAGGACGGAGTGATGGGAAAAGGTTGATTAACAGGTTTTAATTTATTAAGCCAGAAGAAAGCAGCTCTGGCATTCTCTTGCATAGTATAGAGATAACAGTAATGATATTATAGTGTATTTTTTTACAAAAAGAATGATTTTGAGTGCTTTCACCATACAGAAATCATATGTTTAGGATCTACATTTAATGATTTGAACACCACCCAATGTATACATGTATCAAAATATCACATGGTACTGCATAAATGTGAAATTGTTATGCATCAGTTAAAATTTTCTAGTTAAAAGAATTTCAGTTAATATATATAAGAAGCATTTTTTTTTTTTTTTTTTTTTACAGGCAGAGTGGACAGTGAGAGAGACAGAGAGAAAGGTCTTCCTTTGCCGTTGGTTCACTCCCCAATGGCCGCCGCGGCCGGCGCGCTGCGGCCGGCGCACCGTGCTGATCCGATGGCAGGAGCCAGGAGCCAGGTGCTTTTCCTGGTCTCCCATGGGGTGCAGGGCCCAAGCACTTGGGCCATCCTCCACTGCACTCCCTGGCCACAGCAGAGAGCTGGCCTTGAAAGAGGGGCAACCGGGACAGAATCCGGCGCCCTGACCGGGACTAGAACCCGGTGTGCTGGCGCCGCAAGGCGGAGGATTAGCCTAGTGAGCCGCGGCGCCGGCCATAAGAAGCTATTTATTTATAATGCACAATAGAGGGAGAGAGAAAAATTTATTCCATCTGTTGATCTGTTGGTTCACTTTCCAGATGTCCTCAAAAGCTGGGACTCAGCAAGGCCAACGTCACAAAATAGGAAACTTATTCGCTTGTTAGGGGCAGGGCCCCAAGTACCTGAGTCATCTGTTGCTTACAAGGGAGTGCATCAGCAGGAAACTGGATCAGAAGTAGAGGTGGGACTTGATTCTGGCACTCTGATACCTGATGCAGGCATCTTAGGGAAGTTTAACCTGCTATGCCACAAGGCACATCCTCAGAAAGTTAGATTTTTGACCAATGTGAAAGTCTCTTCAAATATATTCCTAATTTATTATTTACTTTTTAGATTTATTTATTCATTTGAAAGTCAGAGTTACACATAGAGAGAAGGCGAGAGAGGTCTTCCATCCGGCGGTTCACCCCCTAATTGGCCACAACAGCTAGAATTGTGCTGATTTGGAGCCAGGAGCTTCCTCCAGGCCTTTCCACACAGGTGCAGGGGCCCAAAGGCTTGGGCCATCCTCTACTGCATTCCCAGGCCAGAGCAGAGCTAGATGAGAAGTGCAGCAGCAAGGACACAAACTGGTGTCCATATGGGATGCCAGCACGACAGGCGGTGGCTTTATCTGCTACTCCACAGTGCTGGCCCCACCCTAATTTATTTATCATTACTTCTGATTAAAAATCTGAATTTCAAACCTAGAAATGATATATATTTTCATTAATAAGAACAAATCAGTGGAAATTACTAATAATTTAGTATTTTTCCTTTAAAAGTACCATTCTTTCAAAATATAATACATAAAACAAATCACAATTTGCTCCTTCTCAGGAGTGAAAATTGTTTAGATGATATATGTACAATAATATACAGCAAAACTTCTGTTTTATCATTGAAAATACTTACAGTGAATGACATTTAGGACAATGAAGTTTAACAGACTGATAGAGACTTTTGGGCTTATAAGATCTCAATTTTGCTCGGATGCGATATTGTTTAGGAGTTTTTTGTTTCAAAATTGCACACAGTGGTGTTTTCTCCAAATACTGATGATCTGTAAGTACTGCAAATAATTTTTATGTTAAATCAGAATAATCTACACGAATGTATTTATGACTTACCGCTGTACCCAAAAATATAGTATAAAATCTAATTAAACTGTATTAGCTGTTAACTCCATGAAACCAAACATGCTTTTAATATGTGATATACATCCAAGCCCACAGCATATTACTAGGCACATAGCAGATACTCAACAAACCTAATGAATAAATGCTGGATAACCAGGACAAAAAAGATTTGAACTGTGTAGTCTGTGCAAAAAATTTTTTATGGGGGACTACTGGAGATTTCTTGATTAACTCAGAGAAAAGAGCAAGGTTTATTTAATCAATAAAATTATGCTATTTGAGAAATATTAAAATATTTGCTAAACACTGATCTCTTAGTTATCTATTGGCCAGCAGGTTAAATTCTAATTGAAATGCAGTACATTTGCTAAATATTATTTGTCAGCTCCTCTTTATGATATTTCAAATTACAGAATTAACATTTGTAAGAAGGAATCTGACTGTTGGAGTTGGAAGGGACAGTAGGAGTACTATAATTGTCCTGGCAGTGAAAGTAGGAGTTTTAACAGAGGAAAGAGAAAGAGGAGAGAAAGGAATAGGGGAAATGATAAGAAAGAGGAATTAGTCACACTAATAAAAAGCCAGATAAAAGCCTTCAGTACAATTAATAATTGTCTGGGAAGCAGGTAAAATGAATGTCCTCAAGTAAAGGTAGAAAGAAGGTTTGAGATGGTAGTGATCAATTTATAATTGGGTAAATAAAAATTTTTGGTGAACTTCAACTTAAGGTAATAACCCTAACTCTGCTCACTAGATATTCTAGCTTAACACTTTCCTGTGTTTTAGAAAATGAAAAGGAATACACAAACATTATAAACCTCAAATGGCTATGACAATTTCTTTCTGTACCTCACTTTAATCCAACTAAGTCATCACTAAATAAATTTTCCTTCAAGGAAGTTTACAATGGGCCATTTTTGTTTAAAAACAAAATGCCACTGACAGACCTGATCAATTGAGCATTTGCTTCAAATTCATTTTATGGTATAGCTTTTAAATTTCATCTAAAAACACTTTCAAATTGAATGAAAAACTGAAGAATAAGTAAAGACTTCTGGTAAGCTTTTCATCACGACTTACCAACTGTTATCATTGTCTCTGTCTTTATCTGTTTTTCTTCATATACATGTATATTATTTATGACATTTTCCCTCAAAATATCCAGCATGTATTTCATAAGAACAGTACATTTCACTGATATACAAATTTTTCTTTTTCTTTTTCTTTTTCTTTTTTTTTTTTCTTTTTGACAGGTAGAGATATAGACAGTGAGAGAGACAGAGAAAGGTGTTCTTCTGCTCGTCACTCCCCAAATGGCTGCTACAGCCAGCGCTGTGCCAATCCGAAGCCAGGAGCCAGGTGCTTCTTCCTGGTCTCCCATGTGGGTACAGGAGCCCAAGCACTTGGGCCATCCTCCACTGCCCTCCTGGGCCACAGCAGAGAGCTGGACTGGAAGAGGAGCAACCAGGAATAGAACCTGGCGCCCATGTGGGATGCCAGCGCCATAGGAGGATTAACCAAGTGAGCCATGGCACCAGCCCCTGACATACAACTTTCAACACCAGAAAATTTAACACTGATTTCACTATCATCAAATCACGTTGTTATTAACATCTGTTTAATAGTCAACAAAGTGTTCTTTTTAGCACTTTAGTTTGGGAACCAAGATACAATCCTGAACATGGATTACAATTACTTTTCACATTTCTTTGGACTTCCTAAATGTGGAATGGGTCCTCAGATTTTTGTGGTCTTTCATGACACTGATATACTTCAAAAGTACAGACCATTTATTTTGTTGGAGAAACATGAAAATGGGTGAGTCTGGCTTTTCCTCAGGCTCATATTTAGATTATGAATTTCTGGCATAAACATTATATAAGTGATACTGTGTATGTCTTAGTATATCACAACCAAGGTTTATGATGTTAATGTTTCTATTACCAGGGGGGTAACTTTGTGCAGTTGAAGGCAGTGTCCAACAGCTTTCTGTACTACACACTTATGGTTTACCTTCTCTGCAATTAAAATGAAGGTACTTGAGAAAACGTGAATATTTTATTCTTCAAACATTTAGGATTCCAACCATTTAGAATCCATTGATTTACATCTAAATCAATAATTACCATGATGGTTGCAAAAAGGTCTTTTAATTTTCTTCTAATTTTATTGTTTCTTTAAATTAATTGCCACTCTTAAAAAGTTTTCCATCCAATTCCTCTTATTTATATATAAGTTTATTATCAACATGGACTCATGCATCATTTTATTCAGTGAGTTCTAATTCACAACTAATATTATTCTGCAGTTCAAATTACTCCAGATTTAAAATGTAATGTTATATGTCATCTGACAGGATCCATCATTAACTCAGAACCTTTTGACTTTCTGGCACTACAAGATGTTTCAGACCTATCTGGTAAGTCCTCTTTCCTGGCTCTGAAATCTGCCATTTCTCTAAGGAGTCTTGATTCCTTTTCAGGAGTAATATTATTTATAAACCAAGAATGATATACTAAGTAAGCTTATTACTGCTGGAATGCAATTATCTCTAAGCCCCTTCATGGCTCCCAGGAGGGAATATGCACATAGAATACACACACATACTAAACATTCAAATATGCATGTCCGAATATGTATATATGAGTAATATATACACACTACAGTAATACATGCTTTTTATCCAGTCTTTTCCCTTTCCAAATCTGTATCTTTGTTCAATATGAGAAACTGATTTTTACAGTAGCATATTATTTATTAAACTTAATATTAAAACTACATTTCTAAAAAAATAATTTTTTTCTTCTTAGGTATAGAACAGAAGGAAGATATCTAACAGATATACTATTACTACTATCATTAAAATTCTGGGGTATATTTAAGAAGTTCTTTTATGGGAACACTTAAATGCATAATGTGAACTGATTAAAATTAACATCATAGAGTATATTTTATATCCTTAAACTAAAAATAGGTCCTATTATACTGTTAAATATTATAATGATATATTCACAAACCTTAGAGGTATATAAATATAAAATATTTATCATATTTAAAATATGTATTATAAATATTTAAAATATTTATCATATTTAAAATATGTACTGAATGTAAAGACATATCTATATGGGTTCCATTTTATGCCAGTACAGGGTAAGGTAGAGAATTAAGTTAACCAGACATTTTCACCCTCATGAGTATCTGCTCTCACTTTTAGGAAAGAATGGGTTATGTGGTAAGCATAAGGACAGACTTTACTATGCTCATTACTATACTGTATGCCATCTCCAAAATAATACATGTTCTTACTTGTAGCAGACAGCTGTTGACATCTTTCTACCTCATACAGTGATACTGATCCAGAACCTACAGAAAGGAGAAGAAAAAAGGAATTATTTAGTTTGTATAAGTCCATTAAAAATTCAATGTGGCACTGAGAATTCTAACACTGTTAAGTGAAACTGAAGAAAATATAAATAGATATTGAGATATGTGATAGTCAAGATTTGGAAACCTCAACATTGTCAATATATCAACTCTCCCCAAATTAATCTGTAGATTGAATGTCATCTAAAGTCAAAATACAGAGGCTTTATTATGGAACTGAGAAGCAGCTTCTATCACTTAAAGTGTAAATGCAAACAATCTAGAATAGTGAAAAGAATCTTGAAATTCAACAACATTGGAGGATATACACTGCATGACTTCAAGATGTACTACAAAGTTAAAATAAACAAGACAATATAGTACTGGAATAAGGTCTGACAAATTAATGACATAAAATACAGAGTATAGAAATAGGCACATATTTATATGATTTTCTGATTTTTGACAAAGGCAACAAGTCAATTAAGACATAAAGCAAAATTACTTTTTTTTTCTTTGACAGAGATGGACACTGAGAGAGAGAGAGAGAAAGAAAGGTTTTCCTTTTCCATTGGTTCACCCCCCCAATGGCCACTGTGGCCAGTGCATTGCGGCCGGCGCACCGTGCTGATCCGAAGCCAGGAACCAGGTGCTTCTCCTGGTCTCCCATGTGGGTGCAGGACCCAAGGACCTGGGCTATCCACCACTGCACTCCCGGGCTACAGCAAAGAGCTGGACTGGAAGAGGAGCAACCTTGACCAGAACCCGGTGCCCATACGGGATGCCGGCACCATAGGTGGAGGATTACCCTAGTGAGCCGTGGTGCTGTCCCGCAAAATTACTTTCAAGAAGTTTCACTAACAGTTGGAATTTAGGAAAAGAAAATAGGACATACTTCACATTGTCCTAATAAGAATTAAGGCAGGGGCTGGTGTTCCATATGAGTGCCAGTTCAAGTCTTGGCTGCTCCACATCCAAACCAGCTCCCTGCTAATGCACTGAGAAAGCACAGAGGATGGTCCAAGTACTTCTGCCTCTGCACTGATGACTTCTCATCAGAAACTCTACAGGCTAGAAGGCAATGGCAAGATATAGTTCAAATCTTAAGAGAAAAAAATTGTCAACCCAAAATATTATACCCTGCAAAGCTATCATTTATAAATGAAGGTGAAATAAAGACCTTCCAGAACAAACAGAAATTAAGAGAATGTGTTACCACTAATCCAGCCTTACAAAAGATGCTTAGGGATGTCCTATACATAGAAACACAAAAAGTCATCATTACAAAAGAATGCAAAGACAGAAATCCCACCCCACTGCAGTAAAAGAACAAAAGAAATCCAAAGCAAAGGATAGGAACATTTGTAGAAAAATGGCAGGACCAAGTGGTTAATCATCAGTAGTTACCCTGAATGTAAATGGCCTCAAATTTCCAGTTAAAAAGATATAGACTGGCTGAATGGATTAAAAAATAAGATCCATCTATTTGCTGTCTACAAGAAACACACACCACACCAACAAAGACACACGTAGACTGAAAGTGAAAGGATAGAAACAGATACTCCATGCTAACGGGGGGGAAGGAGGGAGGGAGGGGGCAGATGTAGCCATCCTAATATCAAACAAAATAGACCTCAACACAAAAACTGTTAAAAGAGACAAGGAAGTACACATATGATTACGGGATCAATACAACAGGAAGATGTGACAATAATAAATATATATGCACCCAACTATAGGGTGCCTGGGTAATTAAAATAACTATTAACGGATATAAAGGGAGACACAGACTCCAGTACAATAGTATTGGAGGACTTCAACACCCCACTGTCATGACTTGATAGATCAGCAAGACAGAAAAACAACAACAAAACAAAGCTAATTGACACTATGGACCAAATGGACCTAACTGATATCTACAGAACTATTCACGTCGCAGTGGCAGAATACACATTCTTCTCAGCAGTGCACAGAACTTTCTCTAAGATAGACAGTATAGTAGACCATAAAACAAGCCTCAGCAAATTAAAATAAAAAATTCAATCGTACCATTTACCTTCTCTGATCACAAGGATTAAAACTCAAAACCAAAAACTCAAAGAGCTCAAGAACATATGCAAATACATGGAGACTGAACAATATGCTCCTAAAATGAAGAGTGGATCATAAAAGAAATCAGAAATCAAAAAAATTCTGGAAACAAATGAAGATGACAATACAACATATCCAAACTTATGTGTAAAGCAAAAGCAGTATTAAGATGGAAGTTTATAGCAATTGGTGCCTACATCAAAAATTTTGGAAAATTTTTATGGAAAATATTTGGAAAAATCATCAAATAAATGAGCTGTCAATGTATCTCAAGAATCTAGAAAACAACAACAAACCAAATGCAAAATTAGGAGAAAAGAAAAGAATTAAAATTAAAGAAGTAATAAAATTGAAACAAAAAATAAAAAAGATCAATGAAATGAAGTGCTGGTTTTTTGAAAAAATAAACAAAACAGACACACCATTAGGCCAATTGACAAAAAAAAAAAAAAAAAAAGGCTAAAACGCAAATCACCAAATCAGAGATGAAAAAGAATCATCAGGAATTACTGCAAAAAACTGTATGCCAACAAATCAGGAAAACTTGAAGAAACTGACAGATTCCTGGACACATACAACATACCTAAATTGCATCATGCAGACAGAACACTTACATATATCAATAACCAAGACAAAGATTCAATCAGTAGTAAAGACCCTTCCAACAAATAAAAGCCCAGGTCCTGACAGCTTCACCGCTGAATTCTACAAAACAATCAAAAAAGAAGGAATCCTTCTGAACTCCTCTTTGAAGCCTGCATCACCTTAATACCTAAGCCAGAACAAGATAAAGAGAACTATAGACCAATATCCCTGATGAACATAGATGCAAAAATCATCAACAAAATACTAGCCAATCAAATCCAACAACACATCAGAAATTTCATTCACCCAGACCAAGTGGGATTTATCCCTGGTATGCAGGGATGGATCAACATCTGAAAATCAATAAATGGAATAAACCTCGTTAACAAACTGAAGACCAAAAACCACGTCATTATCTCAATATACACAGAGAAAGCTTTTGAAAAAATTCAACATCCTTTTATGATGAAAAGCTTAAGCAAACTTAGTATAAAAGAACATTCTTCAACATAATCAAATCAATTTATAACAAACCCACAGCCAGTATCCTATTGAGTGGGGAAAAATTGGAGGCATTCTCATTAAGCTATGGAAACACAAGGATGCCCATTCTAACCATTGCTATTTAATGTCCCACAAGTTTTGATTTAGAGGAGGCAAGATGGCGGAATAGGAAGGGAGCACACTGATAGTCCAAGGAGAGACAGTTTAATAAAAGTGGAGATACTGCAGGTTCAAGGAAGAGTAGGGGAGGAAACAGCAGAAGAAACTCTTCCGAAACGCGTGACTCACAGCGGACCTGCGTGGACAGCGTGGGAGCCCACAGTTTGGGACACCAGCGGCAGACTCAACACACCAGCGCTGGAACGCGAGGTGAGCCGAACCTCAATAGCCCGAGACACCGGCAGGCAAGCAGAGAGAGGAGACTAGAGGGAATGACCCCCGGGGTGGGGGGGAGTTCATCAGGCTAACTGGAAGAGAGAAAGAGAGAAAAAAAAAAAAGGTGACTGGTACGGACTCGGGTTTCTCTCTCTCTGCTCACCTCTCAAGGGCGAGCAAGACAAAGAGCAGGCGCCATCTTGGACATACGTCATAAGCAGAGCGACCTCAGGTCTGCACTGGCCCTGAGCCTAGCAGAAAAACCTGACTCTGGGCGGGGCGAATTAACAGGAGATTAGGACCTAGTAAATTTGTGGTGCTACTGAACTGAGACTGTGAAAAAAGAGACGGTGGGGGAGAGTACTCACGGAATTCACGTGAGCACTCTCCAGAGACGCTACAATTCCATAACTTTGGCAACCCAGTGGGAGACTGAAGGAGAATTTGAGCCCACTCTGAGGGCCGAACAGATTCCCTGTGTGGTCCTTGGGAAAGAGCTTCCGATCTCTGGCTCCTGTGGGTATATCAATTGCCTGCTAACTACCTCCAACTTCGTTCAGCTGTGCAGAATAAATTCCCTTTAGAATCAAAAAAAAAGAAAGAGAGAGAGAGGTTTACCACGCCTAACCTGGGAGTGTCACCTTTGGCACACCAAACAGAGCTCTCAGGCCACACCCATCTCAAGCCCTAAGGCTCCATCAAAAACAGATAGTCCACTTAATCTAGAGTCATAGTATAACAAGAAAAAGCACCACAGTGAAGAAACCAAATATCTCCAATATGCCAAATAACAAACGCAAAAACCGAGGTAATAAAAACAAGGAAGTCACCATGACGCCCTCAAATGAAAAAGACACCCCAATTCAAGATTATGAAGATGATGACATAGAAGAAATGCAAGAAGCAGATCTCAAAAAATTGATAAGAACATTAAGAAGTTCTCAAAAACAAATTCTTGAACTACAGAAATCCTTAATGGACAAGATAGAAAATCTCTCTCATGAAAATGAAATATTAAGGAGGAATCAAAATGAAACGAAACAACTAGTACAACAGGAAACTGGGATAGTGACTGAAGTGAAGAATTCAATAGATCAAATGAAAAACACAATAGAGAGCCTTACAAACAGAATGGGTGAAGCAGAAGAGAGAATATCGGACTTAGAAGACAGAGAACAGGAAAGGATACAGTCAGACCAAACAAAAGAAGAGGAAATTAGAAATCTAAAACATATTGTCGGGAATCTTCGGGATACTATTAAAAAAGCCAACATCCGGGTTCTAGGAGTTCCTGAAGGCATGGAGAGGGAGAAAGGATTAGAAGGCCTTTTTAGTGACATATTAGCAGAAAATTTCCCAGGTTTGGAGAAGGACAGAGAAATCCTAGTACAGGAAGCTCACAGAACCCCTAATAAACACGACCAAAAGAAATCCTCACCACAACA